CAATCAAAACGTGTAACAAGAAATATAACCCACAAATCATTCAACAGCTCATCGTACGCAATAATGAATACGCACTCAAATTGCAGCTCTAGAAGTTGCAGACCCCACATTATGTGTTTCCAGTAACTCGGCTTCTATCATTAGAGGCTGGAATTAGCAAATTAAGGTACCGCAAGATGTCAGGTGATGAAATCAGGCTAGCCGAAGCAGCAAATAATGATTACCCTTGGAGAAAATCAGTGATTTTGGATGTAGTTAGTACAATCGTTTAAGTTACGAGGTTTGATGTATTCAGTAATTAGGTTTGTAAATATTGTTTACTTAGAGAAGATTTCGAACAATTTGGTATTAAGTAATATCTTAATCAATTGTTTTACGTATTATTTTAAAGATTAGAAATTATTTCATTTAGGGCAGATAAAGAACGGCATAAAATTAATTTTGAGGACAGTTGCAGTAAAAAATGTGTGACTTGTTTTCGTTATGTTTTTTTTGTATATTGTATTGTATCTAAATGACAAACAAGTTTTTGGCTTATGTTTCGGATCCCCAGTCAAATATTCCGTAAACGTTTTTACGTTTCAATGCCTGGCAGAGGTTTGTATTACCATTGTCACTATCCAAGTATTAAAGTTACTCTTCCATCTCCTAAATATGAGTAATTCAAATAAATTAACGTAAAAATAAAGTGAATCTGAAATAAAGTGAATCTTGAAACTGCCTCCGTGGCCGAACGGTTACCATGCCGGACTGCTACGCAGAGGTCCCGGGTTCGATTCCCGTGCCGGGAGAAATATTTATATGGCCTACATTTATTTCTCTCGTGTGTTTGGATGTAATTTGTGGTTGTCTATGTGTGTGTCCATGGCACCCGCGACAGACGGCTTCCCTGGTACGGGGATATAAAAAAAGAAAAAAAAAAGAAACGGTAAATATGAATATCTGATCTTGGCTTCATACAATCTTTACTTACTACAACTTTATTTTTTCAACACTAATGTGAAGATCAACACACGTATATACATATATGTATAATATATAATATATATTTTCTAGTCGTTGCCAGGTTAATCTATTACTACTTCGTTTAAAACTCAAATAAGATAACTGAATGAAACAATCAAACAGTAAATTAAAGCCGTAAATTCTGCCATATCAAGTTGACAATCAAAGATAAATTTACGCTATAAATTTAACTTTATAGTAAGTATTTTATTTGGGGCAAGGTTTATTTAGAACGATGCCAAGATCTTATTTGGAACTAACCAAAGTGCTTTTGTAATATTGAGCTGTTCTATAAGGAACTAAAGTTTTGTAAAAAACATTGTTAGTACAATGTAGCAAAATGATTATTTAACAATTTGCCTTAAATGTGTAAAAAAATATTTACTATAATAAAGGAAAGCCCTTTTTACAACCTCTCACAACCTTTTTTACCCTTTTGCAAAGCGAAGCTTAAATTAAAAGCCATCTACCAATATCTTTAATTATGTCAGCGACGATACGAAACGAGTATAAAAATAATTTATACATATATAAACATGTATAGTAAATAGGCGTAAGCTAGAGACACCTGTGTTACGCATCCAGAGTCGATAAAGAAAAAATGAGACTCGCATCAGTATGCACACGCAGAGCATAGTATGGACATATCTTGAGACCATTAACGCATTTAAGCGGTACATGTTATAACAATATTTACATTGCATTAAATAAATAATATAGTAGCCTAAAAGTACAGTAATGTAATGACAAACGCTTTATACATTAAATAAGTTACTACGTTTAACTCATATACTTGCTGTTTTACGTTTGAAAGTTGATTACAATATTACGTAATATTGTAATTATCTTTGAAAGGTAAAAATTTCATAGTTTAATAACGATTGATTACACAATCAAGAACATATCAAGTTTGACACTTTAGACTTTGACCCTTTCTTAAAGCAAGTGGCATATACGAGAAGTTGAAAATTAAGTTGGAAGTGCTCTTGGCCCTATATTTTCGTTAGCGACATTTGGTTTGATAAAATAGAGCCTAGCAGAGATAATGTTACAACAAAATAACGAAAGAGCGTTGCAACCTTCTCGTAAGTTATTTTATAAACAGAAATGTGGGGTAGGATGCGAGCAGCAGTTCTGTTATTACAGCGACAGAGATTAAAAATCGGCATTTTTACGTTTACGTTGCCTTTATTAAATACGGCGATGTTTGATATTCTACATGTGCGTCCATGTTAATGACAATGTTGCAGTTTAGAGGGAACAAGCTATACTGTTCATCTCTTTTCCGCGGCGGCTGGTCGCTGCACGTGTGTCATGAAACGGGTTTCGCCCGCGGACAGCACCAAGATTTTATTAATTTGTGTTTCTTATACATTTTGTATTTCACCTCTTCGAGAGTCTTGGTGCCCTGGTACACGCTCCATCGATTATGTTGATAACAAATTGCTTTTCTTTGTTCTGTCGTTTCAAATCTTACTTGGTAATTTTTATTTTTGTGCATATTTGTCTTAGTATGAATAGGGCTGCCTGTTACTGATGCTTAATAAACTTATTTTGTGGTTAAACTTGCAGAACCACTGTTGTTATCTACCACCACCTAACGTATATACAAAAAATCAGTTTCAATCCGAAAACAAAATTAATTTTCAATTGTATATTAACAATAATCAATACATTAAAAACGTCAAACTGCAGCCTGAGGCGAGCCACCGCTAACAAATAGCTACTAGTCTGTCGAGGCCTTCTTTTGATACTCAATAACAATTTTCCACACAAATTTTTCATTAAAGTTTTTATTTTTTTCAAAATTAATTCGATTAATACATCCATGTACTTTTTTTTAATGACCGTCGGATATATCTACACTTTCAAACGTTGCATTATATCTTTCGAGACCTTTCGAAAGCCATATAATTTTGTTCACAAAAAATAATAAAATTGATCAATCGCTACAAATGTCTGTTGCTACCGTTTCTTGTGGTTATATAAACTATAGGCGGGCCCTTTGAGCGCACCACAAAAGTACCAAATGAAGAAATTCTGGATTTCTAATAATAGTTCTGGCTGAGGTTGGAAAACACACGACACGAAAAGTAAATGTTTCATTTAGTTACTTTGGATTTTAAAAGTTAGCGGTGTGCATACATCGCAAAGTTTAAGACGTGTCAAAGCTTTCCCAGCAGGTAAAGCGTTCGATTGCATACTGCACAGACGTGTCATCGATAGTATAGACGAATATTATTTTTCAATAATAACAATCTTTGTAATAATTAAAATAAATAAAAACAATAATAAAAATAAAAATAAGTAATCTTCGAAGTCGTGCCAACAATTAAAATGAGATTTTGTAATTTCATATCTTCCAAGGAATGTCGTAGAAAGTAAAGTTATTTCAGTCGGGAGGTATATATTGTGATTTATAGTGTATGTATATGCAGTTCCACCCCGTTTTATAGAAGGACACAGTCAAGGTGAAAATTTAAATAGCGTGACGATGACAAGAGTGTTAAACTTAAACGTTGAAACTAATTCGCTAAAAATCATCCTTGAACCAAGGCTTTTACCATCTCACCGTCTACGTGAACATAAACGCACGCAATCGCGACGTAGGCGAAATCGCGACTAATAAAGATTTTGATTTATTTCCCGACATCGACAAATGCTCATTAATTCAATGTGAACGATTGATTAATCGATACAACACTTCGCTAAACCTTATATAGAAATGACCTTAAACGGGCAAGATATGGGTATATATACCTGAATATTGTTTTAAAAAACAATTATTGACAATATTATATATTGGCACTCTTCTTCTTATCGTGTTAGTACTTGTTTTATTTTAGGATTATATTGACTTTGAATAGTATGTTGCCACCTTGACTACGTCATTCGTGGCCGCGTAGTGTTCTTCCTTCGTACAGGTATTAGGCCACAAGGGACACAACAGCAAGTGCTGCTTAGACTTTGTTGGGACACCGCAATGGTATTGGGTACAACTAGCATCCCTGTAACCTCATTTACACACCTTGTTTCTGTCGCGACCTACTTGAGTGCGAAGTCGATTTAAGCATTTCCACTCGGGTCAGAACTGTGGAAATAGAATGCCCCATATTTGATTACAACACGCTGAACATGACACCACACTGGGATGCGCCGCGTTGAATGCGGGCCCTCCTGATCGTGAACAAGTGGTCAATCGATACGGTACGGTAATAACTACGGTAGACCTTGGGTTACAAAAATGATGAAATCTCACCTTATGTGATTTATGCAGCGTTCAATTAGTAGTAAAATTAGTGACAGCTATTTAATTTAATCATGACATCAATAAGAGGGCCACAGAGAGATATTGCGGTTTACCAAGCGTTTTTTGTTGTGTCCCATTATATATCACATATGTATGTTTTCTGAGGTTTGGAACAATAGTATATTTTTAGAGAGATAAAATGATCCCTGTGATATTTCGGACCGTCATTTCTCTGATTTGGAACAGGATACGAATCGTATATATATATCGAAAGTCGTATTCCAGAATTCTACACAATGCTCAAGTCAGGACTTGAGTATGATTTTCAGTGCTTTAAATCATACTCAAGTCCCGACTTGAGCATTGAGTAGAATTCTGGAATACGACTCTTAGGCTCGTATTCTAGAACTCTACTCAATGCTCAAGTCAGGATTTGAGTATGGTTTAAAGTATTCGAAATCATACTCAAATCCCTGCCATTAGGGTCGTATTTCCAGTGCTTGTGTTTCAATTGCAATCCTGACTTGAGCATTGAGTAGAGTTCTGGAATACGACCCTTAGTCATCCAAGTCAGGTCTCAAGTTAAGTTACGTGTTTCATATCACTTTTTAAATAATTATTTCTTTAACAAGAATAGCAAACTATCTATATATATGATCAACATTTAGAAATTATTACTATTTTTACGAATTATGAATTTATATTGTTTTTCAAAAGGTTCTTAATTTCCTTTTTTTTTTCGCAGAGCGTCCTTTCTCCGAATCCGACATCGATCGACCCGGTCCAGCGCCGCAGCCGCAGCAGTGTCGTCGCTCAGCCTCGTCCTCTCCTCCCGCTCTTACCATCGATAGTAACCTGGAAGATGACGTCTTTGTCAGCCCACGAACCGCCAATGGAAATGATCTGTTTTCGTCCAGGAACTTGGAGATTTTTGGCTATGGAAGCCCTAGAACTCCAGCTGGAGTGCTGCTGAATGGCCGAAGTGAGAGAAGCTTCACCTTCTCTGTAAGCAGTCAAAAGCAGTGCAGAGATAAGGGCGGAACGGATCATGCTGACGGAGCCCATGCTGCTTACACTGATGACGATGATGTGAGTATTTTAATCACTCATTTTCAATTTAAAGTGCGTGTATTGTTTAAAGTTTGTGGATATGCGTGTCACGGATTAGGTAACGAGAAACAAAATTCACTAAAAAAATATTACGAGTTTGCCGTGTTACTGCCTCAATATTTACGGGTAAACATACGTACGAGTGTAGGTCAAACAAAACATGTATGACAACAAATTTATTAATTTATTTTTATAATACAATTGGAAAGTACTAAATACCATATGAAATAAAAAGCATTATAAATAAATAACATGGATATGCATCCAGAACCACTGTTATACATAGAACGTTTGATTCTTAACAAGTGCTTCGTCGACATCAATAACGCCGTTAACAATTAATCCTAGTTCATTAGTTGGCGGACACTTTGTGAATATTGCGCAATATTTTACGCTGAACACAAATACATTAATAGATTTTAAAATCGTAATATGTTTTTCTAAAAACGCACGTGCGAGGCGAACCTTTGTCTAACCGCAGATGATTCACCATGTCGATGAACCGGCGCGCGCGCACGACAAAATAATAAACGTACCGGCGTTAAATTAATAAAAGTTGCACAAAATATTGACGGTGATACACGTGCGAATATATACAATTTATAAAGCGAGAAGAGAGATAAAGCAAAGTTGGTAGGTACTTTACAAATTTGTTATCACGGTATATACTGTCTTCAGTTTCACCTACAAACTAAGCTTAAGATATAAACTATTTAAACGTTTAATTACAAGAATTATTTTACTTTATATGTTTTTTGTCCCTGGTGCATTTCTCAATGAGGTGGTAAAAGTGACCCCTCATTTTTAAAAGTAACATACATATTAAACGACAAATTCGTATTATTTTCCATCAAAATGTCTACTTAAATTGACACTTCATAGTACGCAGTTTAAAGACCAATAGCAAGAAGTAAGCTACACTGTTACAATTACATTGTTAATACAACAATGAAATTAAAAGTGCTGACTGAAACGAAATTAAATCTTTCCAATAGATACTGGTTTACGTTCAAATAAAATTCGGTGTGAGTGTTGTTGCACCCACAGATAAAAACTGTGGAGCGGACTTTTTTATTACCCTTAATCTTTAAATTTAATGTGATTGCTCATAAAAATATATGCGTTTAATTTCATTTTTAGGTTTCCGAACCTAAAAGATAAAAGATATTCAGTGATTAAATTCCGACTGCACGTCACGGCTTCTTTGTTCAGAAACTATTATTGCTATCGTTTTAAAATTTAGCATAGTTACCCCGCCTTCATCGCTCCCGTAAGTTAAAAAAATTAAGAAACATTTGTAACTTTTTTAATTGTGTGAAAATGGCGTACCCATATTACAAAGCAGAAAGGAACAGGCCGGTTATAATACTTATGTAAATGCTTTTTTGATACACCGAAATAATATACTTATTATCTTTTTAATCTTATTGACAAAAATATACAAAACATACCGTGTATCTGATCTTTGAAGTTTATAAACTGAAAATTTAAATAATTTAGACATATCGATCCTTCTATATTTTGCTGGACTAGTAAGGAAGTAAGGATAATCAATACATCAATATCCTATGGTGGATGATGATTACGAAATTTATTGTGAATCTCAAAAGGAACACATATTCAATTATAATATGTTTTTAATAAAAAAAGCATGATTCGTTACATAACCAGAGCTATTCATGTGCTACAATTAGCCGCATACGATTTATCAATCTTAAATCAGTTGTAATGGAAAATTCGCTTGCGCGTTCAAATATCTTGGAACGTTGCCATGCAACGAGTTATTTCTGCAAATTTTCCAAAAAGAACAAAACGTCATCACTGTGTCAGGTAACAAGGAGTTAATGATATTTGGAAATTTGTATATTTTTCTACTTGTCATTTTGACATTGGCTTATAATACTTTTTAATTGTCAGTCCTTTCGAGAGAACTAAGATAAATACAAGTAATTTGAAAAGAGACAACTTGTGGCTTCGAAAACTATTGTAAACACAACCCAGCACATAGTAGTAAAATTAGAATTAATTTGTTTTTGTTTCGCTCTGACAGAAATAGGTCACATAACGCGGTAGACTACTGCGACATTTTAACGTCGATATGTTTTTGTCATTTTACTGTTGTTGCGAGACTTTGAATGACAAATGATTTCTTTGCCATCTTTTCTTAACGCGAATATCAAAGCAGATAATTGAAAATCGATGTACATCATTCGCAACGAACATATTTTCTTATTTCGAACATCTCATGTCAGTCATGAAGATAATTAACAAGTATCTTTGGTATGAACTCCGAACACTTTCCCATTTTTACGCTAGACACAGCTCTCTTGTACCATGTGCTTTGGCCTAATTTAATATACACTTTGGTACATATATTTGTAGCTATGTATGTGAAGTGTGTACAATCTATTCTAAATATTGCAGAAGCTCACTCCACGCGATGACACCCTCTTTCACTCGTCGACTTTCGCTCTTCGGTTTACGTTTCGCGTAAAATAAACTTATTTTAGTATTTAGTATGAAATTAATTGCCCCACAAAACTGTGAGGGGCCCGACGAAAGCTAGATTTACGCTTTATTGGATGGATTTGATGGAAGTGCTTAGGATTTCAGGCAATGACTCATTGTAATGTTATATGCACAATAAAATGCGTAATTTTATGGTGTGCGTCTAAGACGTTGGTTATGGTCTTTACGAATTTTTTTTAATAAATATAAAATAAATGAGCTGAAACTCAAATTATTTTGTATTACTTATCTTTGAAAAAATCGTATAAGAGGTCACAAAATAAATAAAATACACCTAGCATTTGTGTCTATAACTTTCGTAAAGTTCTACTAAGATAAGTTCCATCACGCATTTATCATGATGATGATTTATCATGATGCCTAATAAATTTTGCGTTGAATATAGTAAGTATAATTATCTCGTGACTATAAACTATTTGGCTCCGAAAACATATAAACCGCATCTATGGATTTCACAGTTCTCTTTTCACGCGTGGTATTCGCATGGGTTTGACAACATAAGCTTTAAATCAGCCAGAAAATCCCCATAAAGAACTAGGTAGCCTAAAAGAATCAACTAACTCACAACCATAAAGTGACCTTGTTGCATCCGAAAGTATAAATCCGAGCGTCTGTTGTCTCGGCCGTAAACCAAGAATGGCCGGCCAACTGTAATAACATCATTACTTGACTTGACTGAAGATTTTAATACCCAGTAAAAACCGGCAGGCGCTAAGTGTACGTATGTCTTTAGACTGACAATGTATATATTTTAGTAGCAATAGAGCTCCTTGTGAAAGAGTTCGTCAAGGCTAGTATTGCCACCTTACCTATTTCTGCCGCTACATAGTAATATGTATAATCAATTAGGATTATTGTTCATGTGCTTTCAAGATGAAGAAAACACATCTAAAACATGGTCTCAAAATTCATAATACTAGTTTTCGAAAATGACAGAATTGATTAAACTGACCCATTGAGCATATAACCAGAGATAGAGACGAAATGATATTTAGCCAGCCCGAATTCGAAACGATTGACGGGAGTCGTCAATTGTTTCACTTCAAAAGGACCAGTTTAACTTTGTTTAAGTTAAGCTTTGCTATAATGTACGAAAATTGAAAAATTACATATTAAATATTTAATTACCGATGACATGTGATTCTGTTTGTTTTGTAATTAGATGTTTTGCTGTTTTTCCCACACCACCGAATAGAACAGCCTCGCATTGTTAGAGATATTATCTTTATTACAATAAATACAGAATAGTTTTGGAATATACGTAGACGTACACACGTTGCTAGTGCTGTATCATATCAGCTTTCTAATTGGTAATTGAGTGTTGATATTTAAAAGTGATATAAAACCCATTTACCTGATGAGTTGCTAGGGATGAATGATCCTTATTTCGTCTCTGTTTCTGGTTACATACTCGATGAACTGACCTAATATGGAGAAAACACGTACTTCATATGATTATACAATAAAAGTATTTTTCTCATCTTCAATAACGGGTGTTCCTAGAAAAACACCTAACCTTACATGATTCCCAATAAAGCTTTAATGGATACAGCAGCATAAACATCTAAAACACTTAATTTTATAGTTTTAGCTTTTTCATCTTTCTCTCACTTTCGACCTGAGTGTATTATATAAACACACGCGCTCTATGAAGTTACAATATTAAAATTACTATACTTTATAAGAGGTAAAGTGAATTATGTAATAATGAGGAATTATCATTGCATAGAAAAAACTGACCATCAGAGTTCATAGGAATTCTCAATTGGATAAGATGCGCAAAGACCTCGAAATCGAACTTTAATAGTGAGTAATCTGTCAACCTTAGAAGAAAAACCTTATAACGGGAAAATGTAGTGTTTGTGTTGCAGTAATTACTAATTAAAACTTTCGGGAATAGAATAAGTAAGGTCGGTTTTCTAGAAACGTGTAATAAAGAAGTTGAGAACGACGAAAGGATTCGTATAAGGTACATGGATTCATCACACTAAGAGTGACCCGCTGTACCAGAGTAATACCCTTATGTATTAATATAGGACAATAAACTTAAATCGAATTTGAAATTACGAGTCCGCCAATACCTACATCAGAAATAATTCGACTTGAACCCAAATTTACAACGATTGGTTTTAAATAAAATAACAGTACCAGTAATATACGAGCGAACTCGACGACATAAATACATATTATATTGTATCACACTCAATCTATTCTTGGCCTAACTGATTCACAGTGGGAGACAAACGTGAACATAAAATCGCGGAATAGCACGCAATAACCATTTGAACCTTTGTCTAATTAAAAGATAAGCGTATGTGCATCAAGCATGACTACGAGCACTATGCATGTTAAACACATTTAGAATATGACAAAGTTCTATTTCTTTTACTTTATATTTAACAACTTTATATTATCATGAAATTGACCTGGCAGACGGAACGTGATTGTTG